GATCAATTATATACCTTCGATACTTACAGTTTGAATATTCTTCAATGTTGACGTGATATTAAAATCTTGATCCACGGTATCTGTCAGTTTCACATCGTCAATTTTATCAGATGATTGATCTGGGGATTGAGCGTATGATCCAACAATCTAAATATTCAAGAAGAGAAAAAATGAAATAAATAATATTAAATTCTTTCGAAATAATGAAATTAAAAAATACATTTGAACTGGATTAATTTGAATAAAATACATCTTTTGATAAACACATGATATCAAAAAGCACAAAAATTATACAAATATCAAATTCCTTCGAAATAATAACAGTGATAATAATTCAATTTAAATATTGGATAAAAAAAATAAAAAGCTACAAAATATATTCATAAACTTCTGTAAAAAAACACTCAAATATATATATTAAATTCTAACAATGATATATCGTGCACACATAATGTCATCCCACGTAAATGAACGTAAATAAGAAACAGATAATTCAGAAATACGATTTACCAGTAAGATCAACATCAAAACCGACGACATCGTTTCCAAAATCGATTTCCTCGACAATCCCAACTTCCGCCGAGGGAAAGCACTCACGTAAGTTTCCACGAAGTGCAATAATCGAAATGCAACTGCGTGAACCGTTCCCGCATTCGACAGTCTATATACCATTTCTCCGTTGAACAAAATTTCTCTTATCGAATGAAGGTACCCTCATACGCTCAATACATCACTGATAACGTTATGATTACCAAATTATACCAGTTTCACGTCACGGAAATTTGGAGTAATCTTTTCTATCGCGTTTCAATTTCTTAATTGAAATTAGTTAACTCTAGATGCTAAAAGTTGAAAAGTTAAGCAAAAAAAAAAAAAAAAAAATATCATTTTTGTTTCTTATTTAGAAGGTATCATAAAATATGATATTTAAATGTAATTTTATATGTATTCACTTTTATTATCATAAAATTTGTTCAGCAATAATATTTTATCAAGCAAATAATATTTTTTCAAGCAAATTTAATTGTGTATATGATTTTAATTAATATTTATTTATTTATTTATAAAGATTTAAGTAATTTAATCGATTAAATAAGATCACTTAATTTTTCTCTTTTGTTAGCTTGTTTGCTAGTTGTTTTTATTACAAATAAATTTGTATTTATAAGCATTTTTATATATCAAAATCTTCATATAGGTAGCTATATTTATTAAAATTATTTATCTTTTATTACTATCCGCCTACAAATTGTTAATTAAAAAATGAAACTTTACTTTCTTTTTTTTTATATTTTATTAAATGAAATTTCATTCACTGAAATCATAATCAAATTTTAAAAATATTCTAGGAAAATTCCTTTTAACAATTAAGTGAATCTTGAATAAAGCTTATTAGAATAAATTCTAAGAATTAAAATCTGTTGAATATGAATGGTATATTATTATATTATTATTTTATCAACTTTTACTAATTTTCTTAATAAATAAAATGCTAATTAATATGAGAGTATGAAGAACAAAAAATAAATTCCACTTCCAATTTAGAAAAAAATTCTCATTAAAATATATATAAATTATGAATTTACTGAAGCGAAATATGAGATTTATAATATTTCCAAGTACAGATATTTTCCAAGAAGAGAAATAATTTCTCTGTATAATTTCTCCGAAAATAATTAATCTATTTCAAAAATAATATTTTTCAAAATAATTCTAACAATAACAATTATTATTATATTTAAATTATTACATTTAAAATTAAAATAACTATTTCTTAGACCATAAATTAATAAATTAAGTCTATTTTAAAGGTGTCAATAAATTATTTTTATCGAGAAAATTTTAAAAAGAAAAGAAATTTTAAATTCTTTTCTAATATTCATGATGTAATTTTAAACGACAAAATACATTAAAACTTCCAAATATTCTAACATTTTTTCTACTAACTCACTATTTTGTATATGAATTATACATTATAATTCACAGCAATATAAATATCTTCTTTATATTTTATTTTATTCAAAATTTAATTTGAAATAACAAATTAATATTGTATTTACCTATGTCGATATTAACTATTGAAACGAAACCGGAAATGTTTAAGAAACTAGAAACTGGTAAAAGTGCTACAGTGTTGATAAAAATATAAAATATTAGAAAATCCTCAATTATTAATAGAAAAAAAGAGAAACAGAAGAATGAAATAGAAAATTATATGGAAGATATATATATTGCACATTCCTTTATGCATTAAAAAATTTGTACTCTCTCTAAAAAATATACAATCTCTAATTTTATAATAAAAATATCAATTTTATTATAAATAAGTATATTTTCCTCAAAAGGATAGAATAATTCATCTAATAAAAGTCTATATTACTTACATACTATATTACTATATTACTTATCTGAAAATTCGTTTATCCAAATAGTTCAAGTAATAGAGATACTACTATAACTAGAAGTCTTCTTCTAGAATACTTCCAATAAACATACTAAAAAAAAACATAAATTTTTTATTAGTTTTATCTCTTTATTAATTCAGAGATTCTACTATACCTAGAAATCTTCTTAATATTTTCAACAAATATGCTAATAAAGACACAAATAGTCAGTGGACGAATAGAGATTCAGAGACTTGTGTTAAAAACCAGTCGGCCTTTTCACTATCGCGTACATCTGGATCCACAACCGAATTACCTTGAAAGTGCGTGCAGTCATCGAACAGGATCCGCTGGTTCTCGTCCTTTTTCCTTTACTCCTCGTGAAATCGTCATGACGGCCTTGTGCAAGGTCGCGGCCTTCCAAGAACGAAAGTCATTTGATTGTTCTTCGTGATTCACTTTCGCTCCAACATATGTTCAACATTTGATTAAATTATTAAAATAAATCGTTCATTGTTAAAAAGATGAAAAAACAAGATTCATGATTTCAAGGACAACGAGATATAAATTAAAGATGATATTATTATTATTTTAGATATTTTCTTCTTCTTCTTTTTTTTTCTTTTTTTCTTTTTTATTTTTAAGAAATTAGTATTATTTATACAGCGAGTGGAATTAATGCTTAAAGTTTTTTGTATTATGAATTAAAATATTTTTATAGTTCTACCTGAAAAAAATTTTCAATTAATTGAAATTTTAAATACATACATATTTAGAATTATAAAATAATTACAAAAGTTAATATTTTATTTATTATAAAAAGTAATAATAACTTACTTTTCAATAGTAATTAAAACTATTTTTAATTATAAATATTTATAAGTATTTTATGTTTTTAAATGGATACATAAGTGCTATTAAAATTCAATCAATTAATTAGATGTATACCTAATTAATCGTAATATTTATGTTAGTTAAGATCCATTTTAACCAATCGACATATAAACAGCAAACTCAACAAATTTCAATTCATACTAATTAGAAATTTCCATCCGCATTTGAAAGCATTTTCTAATAGTACTGCTTTTTATTTTAAAAATAATTTAAAAATATAATATATTCATTTCATTAATATATTCATTTAATTTTATACATAAAGTGGATTATGAAAAGAATTAAAATAAAAAAGGAATAGAATTTACTATATTTATGACAAAATAAAAAATTGATCATGAACTTTGAAAATCAAGAAAAGAATTATTTCTTTATAATAATAGAAATTTTTTCTTCAAATGAGAATACTAAAATCCATTATTATAGTAGCAAAAAACTAAATCCAAAATTCAAAAATTTCCATTATGCGAATTATTTGCCATAAATCAAATGAGAAAAACAATCCTTGTTGTACTAAATGACAAAATTCTTTCTTATATATTAATTCCTGAAAAAATAAAATAAAAATAAAATTAATTTACAATTATATAATAATAAAGGATAAAAGATCATAATCAATCTCAAAAATTCAATTTCAAAAATTAATTATATAAAAACTATTATTTACACACCAAATCTAGAAGATTAGAACAAATTTTATCATTCCACTCTTATTTACTTCAAACTTATATTTGAATATATTTATATATATACATTTATTTACAACTTACAATTGGAGCAATAATTTCCTTCAATAATTTTTTTTTTTTCATTCTATTCTTCTTTTCAGTCATATTAAATTCAAATTTACATATATATCTATATATCTGTTCTATTTTTTTTTTTTTCACTCTTACCTCTACTCACCTCAAACTCAAATCTATCACATACCTGTTCCAACATACAATTTTCATCAATAATTCTTTTCTTTCCTCGTTTTTTCTCTTTACTCTTTTCTTTACTCTTCTTAAATCTATGCATATTTAGAATTATAAAATACATACATATTTTTTTTCACTCTTACCTCTACTCACCTCAAACTCGAATCTATCACATATCTGTTCCAACATACAATTTTCATCAATAATTCTTTTCTTTCCTCATTCTTTATTTTTCTTAAATCCACGCATATATCATCCGAATCTACATTTTGATACGTGACACGATCTCTCTTCGATCATTTTTATTATTTCGTCCCATTCTAATGTCCGAACCGTGCGGAACGCGATTGTATCACTGTTCGCCTGAAACCGGAAACCAAAGGAAGCGAATCCACGCTCGGCCACGCTGCATAGCGGAAAACCAAGCTCGGTTCACGCACGCGAGCCGCATACCGATCTCAACTTAATTCAAGTGTCACGCGTCTGCGTTCGCGAACCCTTGCGTGGCCTCTCGTTTCTTCCTCCTTGATTAACACTTCTGCTCTTTTCACGCTTAGAATGTACTGTGCGCGCCGATGGAACCGTTACCAGCCTTTTTCGAGACCAGTTCCTCGGCGACGCTCGGCCGCGAACCTTGATCCACGCGAGGAAAATCGACGAATCGAAGGAACGAGCGCTCTGGACCGGTCTGGATCGTTCAGTTTCGATATAACGACGCTCTCACGCGGACTAGTCGGATTTTTTCCCCGGATCAGTTGATGATGGTGATCCTGTGATCTGGTGCAGTGGTGACATTTTTACTGGAAATAGTGTTTCTCTAGTGTTCGGGATACGTTCGAGAGGTTGAAGAGGATCTTTCCAGAGAGAGAGAAAAGGAAAGATAGCGATTATTCGAAGAGAGAGATCTGGAAAAGGCAAATATGAAGATCTTTTATTGTTTTTTGGTGATCGTGCTGTCTCGACAGGTGAGATGATCTTAGTGCTGATATTTTATTATTTTATAGCGAATCGTTGTTAATCGACGTGAATAAGTTTGGAAAGTAATTTTGTTCAAAAGAGGAGGGGATCGAATGATTTTTGTCGACCGAAAGTATTAATCAGATTTTATTTAATTATATTGTGAAGAGATTATAGAGATTTTAAAATAATTATATTACTTTTAATTATTAACTCAAAATGAAAAGGAAGAAATCTCAACATCTTGTTTAGTAATTAGTTGAATAATAATTATGAATTTCCGAATTTGGAAAAGAAAATTTTATTTTATCTTGAAGATGGATCGTTTATCGTATTGAAAAATTAGTTTAATTATACATACATGATATATAATAAAATACAGCAATGCAAAAATTCAAATATTAAACACAATTCAAATAATAAATACATTTAATGACTTAAGATGCTTAATATAATTTATAATATAATTATTAGAATTATTTAAAAATTATTTAAATTTTTCTAAATTTTGTAATTATTAAATAAAATTCTAAGAATTGAAGAAAATTATTGATGTGGATTATAAAAAATATCATATTAAAACTTTATAATACTGAAAATTAATATTTGTTAATATTTTAAATAGACTTCTCAATAGACTCAAATATTCCTGTCATTGGAATTACAATAAATATTTCATAATATATACAACAATAATATTTGATATCAAATTTTTATTTTAACAAATTGTCAAAAATTATGTTCTTTTATGATGTTCTTTTTAAAGGTCTCATTAACCATTTCATTCGCATTAGTTGCACAATTCAATTCCTTTTCCAAAAACTTGCACTTTAATTTTGAAAAGGTGAATGAAAAGGTGGGAAAAAAGTTACCACTTTGACATAGATAGAAGGTCGAGTTTTAATTAACTCTCAGAGAGAAGTTTCACCAAAGTTTAAGCCGCCCCTTGTGTCGTTCTACCGTTCTCAAGAATCGTGGCCGACGATTTTCTGCCACGAGAACTTTTCCTTCCTCTTAATTATCCTTTAAAGCAGCGATTCTTAACCTTTTATTTACGAATCTTTTCTTTAAATATTATAATTCTTTGCTGTCTCAGGCTTTCATTTAGTTCCAAATTTGAATCTGTAATGTGTGAATATATGTAGTATTTGAAATAACAATATTAAAAGATAAAATAAAGCAAGCAATTAAAGCAACAAAGTATTAAATAAATGAAGGAACAAATCTTACTTACTTATCATAATATTACTTGCTTTTTGATATTACTGCAATATTCACTGCATATAATCTTATAAATTGTACATATATCAAGAGACTTGTATATTTTCTTCAAAATTAAGATATAATTTACTCTATTATCTTGTACACTATAACAAAGAAAATAATTAACAACATTATATCAATAATATATGTTTCACGAAAAAGTGCATATAATTTAAGATTGTTAACTATCTCAAATATTGAAATTTTACCAAAAATAAAACAATTTTAGTTAAGATTTCCAGCACAAATGTATTTATATTTCTAAATAAAAATTATAAAGAACAACAAAAATTTTCGAGAGAATTAAGATTATGATTTTCCTTTCTATAATTTTTAGAGATTACGTATATTGTTATAATTATAATTTTTTGTTTTAGGCTCTTTGTGGAATTCTAAGAAACCCACCTGCCTTCTCGAAGCCAGTTTACTCGGATTCCTATCTTCCTGCAGCTATGCAAGTGAGCATCATCATTAATTCTATAAAAAAAAAAAGCTTCGTTCAATCTATAAAAATTCTAAAATTCAATTTTAAAAGAATTAAAAAAAAAAACATATATTAAATTAAAAATATAATCTTAAAAATTCGGTACACTTACCGAGTCAATGGTAATCCCACCAAAGGAATCTGTTTCTATGTCGCACAGGTGATATTCCACGCTGTCGAGCAATTGAAACTCCTCCAATCAGAAGAGATTATACACAGCTCGACCAACATAGGAGATCCCTCGACCTCGCCGATCACCCTCCCGGATCAAGATCAACAAACAACCTCTCAAGATTCTTCCACCTCTGTCACAATAACTCAAGAGGAGTCGAACGCGGAGGAGGAAGAATCCAAAGACTCGGAAGACTCGTCGAGAAACAAGGAGGAACAAACATCTCAACAATGCCCGGGAAACAAACCGGAAGAGTCCAAGATCGAGGAAGAAACGGAAGAAGCGAAGGTGGACGAGACATCGACATCGGAGAAAGTGGAAGGATCTAAAATCGAAGACGCTTCGGAAGGTTCCAAAGTTGAGGAGACGTTAAGCGATGAAAAGGAACCGAGCGAAACAAAAATGGACAAAATGGAGGAAGGAACATCGGGGAACGCGGAGGGCGCAACGGCGAAACCTGTGGAATCGGCGGAAGATCACACGAGAGTAGAAGAGTCGCCAGAGTTGAACGAGGAAACGCCAGAAACGAACTATGCGACGCCGGAAACGAATTACGAGAAACCGGAAGAGGTGCATGCCGTGGAAGAAACGAATCAAGAAGTGGACGAGGAAAATCACGAATGGATTTCCTCGATCGATACGAGGGTGGAAGTGACGACAACAGCGTTGGGTAATCCAACAGATTCGGATCGAGTAACGATCATTGGGAACGACGAGAAGAAGAAAGAGCCGACCATCGACAGCGTGGTCCAAGGTGTCTACGAGATCTTGAAACCTACCACGTCGAAATTCGTGGATGAAGAATTGTTCGAGGAGCATTCGAAGAGCATCGTGGGAGTTTCGATGGAGAAAATGGAGAGGGCCGAGGAGGAGAGTGACGAGAATAGGTAAGGTTTTTGTCGGGAAGATTATCCTTTGTGAGAATGAGCGAATATGGAAGATTTGACAGAAGATCTATTGTGCCTGGGATTGATGTGAGTTTGGATAATGTGATCTATAGGTTTGCAGAAAGATTAATTGATTAAAATAATTGTTAGGATGTTTAATAGATTAATATTTAAAATTTATATCTAGGTTTATTTTTTTTTTTTAATTGTATTCATGAAAATAAGAATTTTCATAAATGTCTAGTTTTTAATTATAAGATATATTTTATAGAATACATAAGTGGAATATATTCAAGAAATTCACTTCTTATACATCAAAATATTTTCTAACTACTGGGAACTTTTCTTATAAACATTCTTAGACATTAATTTTAAATTACTTTTTTATATTCTATTTAATTTCTTTGATGGTTTAGAAATAACGTTTCTTTAATTAACTTCTTAATGTAGAAAAATGAAATTATAGAAAAAAATTGATAACTTAAAAAACGTAAAAATAAATAACATTGTTATATTCTAGGAAAAAATGGAATTATTTATAAAAATGTTTAAATATTGAAAAATCATTCACGAAGATGCATAGATGCAAAAAAAGAAATAATTAAAAAAGATAATCAATATCATCAATTATGCCATGAGATTAAATTAATTTAATTTGAATTTATAATTCAGATATTTTTATCAAATCTCGTATATAATATTATTTATCATTTTTTTATTGTAAAAATATAGAAAATTTAAATTCGATTGAATTTGATATAATATTTGAATTTATTACAATAATGTACAAGCGAAATAAATTCTGATTAATGTTTCGAACTTGATACGAAGTAGATAAATAGTAAAGTGAGCCAACCGCAACAAGAATATTACTGTTCAGTATTCAATTGAGATATCGATTCAAGTCTCGTTAGAAACTTTATCTAACTAAATGTATACATAAACAGCAATGATTACTTCGAGTATAAATGTTATATCAACTCGTTATGAAACTAAAAGGTGTGTATTCAATGAAATTGCTCCATTATCTTCATAATTTCAACGATAAAACATGCTATTTTTCTTCTGCTATTTTAAAATTAAAAAATTTATAATTCATAAAATAGAGATCCCATAGAGAAATATTAAAGTAAAATGATTTAATTAAATTAATTAATATAAATTTAACAGCAATGATACTGAATATTTTCAATTTTTCCAAATAAATCAAATGAAATTTAAATAACCAATAGGAATAAATTAATAAATATTCTTTACAATAATTAAAAAAAAATAACAAAATCCTAAAAAACGTATCAAATAAATTAAATCAAACGATATAAAGAAATTCTTCTATGAAATAAATTAACCAAAGATTAAATAAAGGTAAAAGATAAATCGAACAAACGAACAGAAAAACTATAATAAAAAAATTATTAGAATATCAATAAAAAATTATCAAGTATTTTATCAACTAGCTTTTTACTTTCCAACCATTTCTCTTCAGGTTCACACGTCTAGGGGAGAAGGTGACCCAAGTTCCAAGGCCGAGTTTGACCAGCTACCTAAGACGTTCCAAAGTACCACCGAGTGCCACCCTTCAACAACTTGCAAATCTTTACGACTCGTTGAGCAAGGATGCTAGAAAACAGGGATTTGGCAAATATACCGGATATTCCGACGAAGTTCTCAATACTTTGGAAACTTCTGCCGAGGGTGGCATAGGGCCACAGATGAAGAAGATTCTTTCCAAGGTGTTGGAACGAAACGAGTTGACGAGGGAAGACGCGAGAATGAGGGCGTCACAGGCTGTTCGAGATCTCGACAACCCTTCGAGCATGCTCAACAAGGATCTAAGAGCCGTGTTGCCTTTGCGTTACTCCCCGTAATCCTAGATATTAGATATAATCGATTCACACGCGTCCACGATTAATTCGATACGTTGATTTAGTTAAGGATTTGTTATCTTGAAGGGAAAATTGATATTCTAGTAGCGTAGAGATTTGATCGAATAAAGTGGAACGTCTGTGATAATAATAATAATCTTGTTTTGATATGAAAATTTTAAATTATGGATTATTGGAATTGGAAATTGTTGAAAATTTTAAATAGAATTAAGTAATTATTTGAATTACCTGTTGAAATTTAGATTACACTTTCTTCAACGTTGATTTCGAGCGTTGATAATATACGGTGGAAATAAAATTATTATTTTCTTTCTGTGTAATTAATAATTCAATAAAACTTTTATACATAGTGGATTGGTTGATTCACTGATATCTATTGTTTTAAGTTAATGTGATTATATATAAACTCTTGAATGACTTCAAGTGATTTAATCTAGTATATCATTGAAATGATCTTCAAATGTCTTTGAAATGATTCTTAATACTTGTAAAATTATTTTTATTAATCTTGAAACTTGAAATGATCTTGACCGAGTTCAAATCTTTTTCAAATATTTTTTGAGCATTAAATATCATTTAAATAATTTTCAAATGATCTTAAAATAATTATTTTAAATATTATATCCTGAAAAAATATTGGAGAAAAAATTGTCTCCAAAAATAAGAAAATTTAATAAAGTATTTTCCAAACATATTTCAATATAATTAGTATAAATCAAATATTCCTGGAACAGCATTCTTTCAAAGCTTTGACTAAAGCATTCAAAACCACAGGAATTTAAAAGTGATTCAATAATTCTGAATACAATGAAGTTGATTCACAACTGATTTTTTTTAATAATGCATCATCATTGTGATATTGACTCATATTGAAAGTTTTTGAGATATCATTCTAAAGAATTGCACTATATATTGCACCTAAAACAAAATGTAATCAATTAATTCAAGAATTTATAACATTTTACAAGCATGCACCACTGAAAGTCTTTTTTTTCAATTTATAAACATATATTAATTCATTAAATATATAATTAATTATTGTATTTACAAAATTCATGTTTGTAATATTTGATACATTATTATTAATTTCAGAGAATATTTTTTTAATCGCTATTAATTAACAAAAAATCACACTTGATAAAAATTATATTTCCATTAAAAAAATAATCTAATTATACAAATCTACTTGATTTTAAACAAGTCTAAATATTGATCTTAAATCCCTGTAAACATAATAGAATCATAATTGCAAAGAATAAATTAACATTACCAATAAAATATTCAAATACATCTGAACGCTGTACAAACATCAAACAATCTTATTTTCTTACAATTCACCACTATTATTCGGCACCATTTATACCAAAGCGAAAATCTCGAGAATTTTCCCATCTACCTTGACCCGTGGCACAATATTATTTATTGCTCGAACAATATGAGCTGGCAAAGAGTCCACGAAGCGACATTACGTGCTTCGAATATCAATCTCTATTGGGTAATCTCGCGTCAATCGTTTGTCCAGGAGTCAGCGGCGCGGACAGAAAACAATAGGGTCGTTGGTACTGATCGAATTAGAAGCATCGAGACGCTACGCCTTTGCATTGCACACCGGTATAAATGAATTTTGAAATCAATGGATCCTTCAGTCGTTGCCTCGCCTTCGAAGAAAGAAATCGTCGAAAAGGAACAATTAGGGTTGAAACATCATGAAGATTTTATTTCTTGGATTTTGTCTTTTTTGCGTAAGTAGAAATTTAGTTTAGTTATTAAAACAAAAATGGGAAAGAGAAAATCATTTGATTATTGATTTTTTTTTTCTAAAATTGAAAAACGTGAACGAATTAATAATAGCAAATTTTATTAATTATTTATTATTTAATTATTACATAAAGTATTATGTAAATATTAATTATTTGTTTGACCCTTGTCTTGATTATGATATGTATTTTTCATAAAAAGAATTTAAATATCCAAAGAAATGGAAGTTCCTTTAATTAAATTTTGTATAATTTGTAATATTTTCATTTATCTTTACTTTAATTTATTTAAAAATTATAGTGATTAACATATTTATAACATATGGAAATTATCTTTGGGGCAATAAATTCTCTTATATTGTTAATTATGTATTTTCAATAAAATTGGTTTCAAATTTTAATATATCTTTTTTATAAAACTAAAGAACAAAAATGTGTTTCTATTATAAATAATTAAATAAAGTAATATCAATTTAAAAAAAAGATTTGATTTATAAAAGATTAATTACAATGAAAATTAAATGCAATAAATGAATTTTTTTATTTGTGACAATGTTAAATAATTTAAATAATTTTTTTATATGAAATTTTTCAAAAGAATTTAATTTAGAAATTAATTTCTAAACGATTTCAAAGAATTTTTGAAAATTATCTAATTCACTTGATAATCTCTTTAAAAAAATTCCACCAACCAAAATATGAAAGATTTAATTAATATTTTCGATTAATATCGCAAATAAATTAAAAAACAATCCAAAAACGTTAATTTTCTATATCATAATTAATTGATCAAATTTTGAAAGGAAGAAAAGATAGAAAAAACAAATAAAATATATTTCAGCTCTCTATCCTGAGAGTGGAATCGAAGCCACAAATAACGAAACTGTTCCCGATCCCAGAAGAAACAAGCGATCCTCCACAACGATCTGGCAACGATACGAAGCCTTTGGACAAATTATTCGGAAAATTGCGAGCCACGTACAACTTCGTGTTTCGAAAGCCAGAGAACATGAGCAACGTGGAGAAAATTTTGGCCAAGGATACACCTGACCCTGATGTCGAAGCGCTTAAAGTAATCTGGTCTAATCGAATGCAATCGAATTCGAAGGATAAGGAAGATTCGAAGAAATCTCAACCCAAGGGAATGTATTTAGCGGCAAACGACGAATGGGTGAATGATATTCAACCTTTAGATCATTTAGAGCCTTTAGAACCATTGGAATTGGAAGACGAAGTAGAAAATCATAAAGATCGAGAGGTAGAAATCGTTACACCGAGAACCAGTTTCCAGTTTCCGGTCACATTTAGTCGTCATCTCGTTGATTGGCTTGGATCACTTCTGGGAATTACTTATGGAGTATATTCTAAGTTAGCCAGAGCAATTTATAGCAATTATACTGCAATACGTATTAGCTGATTGTAAGAAATATAAATTTTATATTACTTTGGATTTTTGTTTGTATTAAAAATAATTGAATAAAATGAAAAGTGATGTAAAGTGTTCATCCCAGGATCTGAAACATAATAGAAACATGGTAAAACTGCATTTATTTTAATTCAACATTCCATTTGATTAGAGTTCATTGATTTTCATCAATTTCTTGTAATTTTTCATTTTTTTTAATAAAAATTCATAAATGTGATTGAAATAAATGAAGTTTTACAGATAATACAAGTAAATTTTTTCTTTACATTTATTTTATTCAAAAATATCTTGGTCTGAAAAATACATGTGTTACCTCTTATCCATTCTTTTCTTTTTTTTTTCTTTTCTTTTTTGGCAATCATCATATTATACATAACAATCGTTAATCGAGTAACACCTTGTCGCGAATCCATTGTTAAAATATTTCAACACCTTCGTCATATCATTTTACGTATTATAATGTCCGCGAGAAATGGCCACAAGAATGTGGACATCGATATCTTATGTACTATTTAATTAACTTTAATGGAAAGATTAGTACTGTTTCCTTAACCCAGGATAGTGATACGATACTAGAAATCCTTGAAAATTAAGATAATTACAATAATTATTCTTAGAAAGAAATTCATCAAAATTTTCAAGATATCATATAACTGTTCCTATCCAGGGCAAAGTAAAACAGGAAGTTTAAAGAAGTTCAGGAGGAAAAGACAAAATACTGTTATTCTCACGAATATTTAAAGTCTTTGGTTCTATTACAATGCGGTATGAATATTTTTAGTGCCATCCGCAGTCATTCATTCTAATCTTATGTATGCCTAGCAGACATTTCAAAGATGTTGGTCACAATTAAATGTAATCACAAGTTCCAAAATTTATATGGAAATATTTAGAAGCATGTTCTATAGTAAATAGTAAATTGTCAAAAAGTTGTACTTTCAAAATTATAAATAAAATATATGTATATTTAAAATAATTAATACAAATAATAAAAAGAATAGTATAATAGATTTGTTTTTTAAAAGTTCTTTTTTACCAAAATTAAGAAATAAATGAAGAACAATTTTATAAATGTTTATATTTTTGACAATTTACTGTTTTCATCAAAATTATCTTTTGAGCAATTTTTTTTATTATTTTTATTTAAGAAATTTCTGAGTAAATATAAGAAATTGTACGATAAAAATTTTACTTTGAAATTTGATTTCTATGAAATGAACAGTACAGAAGTTTCATTTTTAATAAAATTCATTCGTGAATAAGTAAAAAATAATAAGAACTTCTTCGAATCTAAAATAAAAAACAAAATAAAAAAAAAAAAGGATCAAAAATTGTTATTCAAATAATAATATATTTTTTTCGTTCGTTATTTAAACGCGAATATTCTTTGGTACGAAGAAAAACAAAAAGATTTTCAAGTCACTTTAAAATATTGAGCAAAGTAATCTTTCTTTCCTCTAATATCACTTCTCAAACTTTTGCATCAAAATTAATACATAATTTGCAACATAAACTACATTACAGAAAAAAATTCTTAAAAAATATAGTTATATTTTTTAATAAAAATTTCTTTTTTTTATCTTAGAAAATTCATCTAAAAAAATAATAAAAGTAAAAAAAAAAAGATCATAATGGCATTTTTCATCGAAAACATTATTAAAAAACATCAAATGTATAAAAAATATGTTTGTCTAATTGGAATATGAAAAAAATTGAAAAGAAAAAACGATGAATTATATTATAGTAAATAATAAATGGCTTAATTAAAATACGTATGTATAGGTATGGTAAATATGAACACGGACGAATCAGAGATCAAGTTTTAAACAACATACCTACTGAGTCTCCATCAGGTAAAATTTGTATATAGTACTTATATACAGAATTATTCTACAAATTTTTATAACCATATTTATTGGCAGTATACTATTACTTGTTCGTATTCGCTTTGAAATTATCCTAACGGCAAATTGGCATTGCGTATTTTTCAACGCTATCATTGTTTTTATTATTTTTATTATACGTACTCCATTCTAGGACACAAATATGCACACTGAACTCGAATTTTTTAAAAAAAAGAGAGAAAAAAAAATCTTTCATTACGAACACAGTAAAAAAAAAATCAAGTTCAGTGATTTATGTCAAGTATATTTTGTGATCATAGACTAGAATCAATAAACAAACTATTTTCTTTATAGCTAATTTAAATAAGATAAATGATGTACTCTAATGCAAATTGATTGCTCTTTTTGTTTTGTATATTGTTATTATTATTGTTATTATTATTATTTTTTTTATTTCAATTTATCTAAACTTATTGTTAGACTCACTCAGGCTTTGTAGCGGATTACTATTAAATGATATTATTTCATATGAATAATGGAACTTAACTGTAGTTTATAATGTGTTCATTAAGAATATGAATATAAGGTACTGCTCACTGAATACTAATATTCCTTTGTGAAACGAAAAAAAATAGTTATGTTTTAAATTCATTGAAAATTTAGTTGAAATTTAATCAGCTTAGAATTCAATCATTCAAATCAATTATTATGAAAATCATTATCTATTATTAATGGATATTGATTAATCAATTGCACCTCAGTCTCTTTTCAGTGCTGTCTTTTTCTCATCTTTTTTTTTTTTTTTTTGAAAATTTCAATTTTCAAATTATAGAATAGGTTGCAATTCCTAATATATATTTAATCAATTTTCTATTTTGTGCTAACCACAACACTCCCATACGAACAGCCTTTATTGCTTTGGATTTAGATGGACTTATTTATGACTAAGACGGCATTAAGTACCTTGTATTCTGAGGCAGAATTTCATTCATGTTAACTGCTTGTTGTTGTAATATATTCGTTTCTTTCATTGCTTGTTCCTTAAATGAGGAGAATGTGTGGATCAGATTCTGATCCTTTTGAAGATGTTGAATATACTGGAGAAAATTAGGCTCTTGTTTCATGAAACCATCTTTCAGCACAAAACTTACTTCTTGTTTAGACATTTCAGAAGCTTTATCGAAAGATTCTTTTTGTTCCATGAAAAAAGAATCTTTCTTTGTTCTATTTCTCCTAATTCCTAAGTGTGTTTGAGTATGTTTATTCAAGTGATCCTTCCTAGAGAAAGCTTTTTGACATACTGAACATGAAAAATTCTTATCGCCAGAATGAATCACGTAATGCCTCGTTAAATGTTCGTTTCTCTTAAATGCTTTTTGACATACTGGACATTTAAATGGTCTTTCGTCCGAATGACCGCGCATATGTTGATCGAGATGCTCCTTTCGTTTTAACATTGCACCACATTCTTTACATTGATATTTGCGTTCCTATAAGATAAAAAAATTCATATTTATTTAATACATGTTTATTTATGTAATAAACAATACATACTTGTATATGAGCTTGTATATGTTGTTCAATTTCTGTCTTATCCGGAAATGCTAAATTACATTCTGGACAACAATAAAGTGTCGAACCATCTAAAGCAACACTGATTTTAATTTCTCCGGTTTTCGCTCGAAATTTCATTTTTTTCTCGGTCTTTGGCGAGTCTGTTTGTATTTGTTGTTCTACTTTAATAGTTTGCACTGTATTCTCGTTTTCTTGTTGGTTTTCTATTTGAACATTTAAATCATTCGGATTTATAGATACTAGCATTTGATCTGAGTTCATAAAGGTATTATTCCCATTCTGTAAATGAGTATTTCTAAATACTGGAACACTGGGAATGTTAAGAATATTATTTTGCGTGTGCTCCACTTTCTCCTCTTCAGTCTTTTCTTTCTTCACCTGTTCTGTTTGTAATTTAATCAACTGTTGTAATGTTAATGGAAGTGTAGTAGCTTGTAATTTTTGGAAATATTCTGCCATGGCACTTTGTTGTTGAAGTTGTGAATCTTGCTGAAATATTAATTTTTTATTACATAAAAATACATAAATATATTATAAAATAATATACATATATATAGAGTTAATTAGAATAAAAAAAATCTATACCATTGTAGATATTTGTTTTCCATTTTCAGTTCTTGTTTCTAATTCTTGTTTTATAATTTCTGATTGTGAAGTTGATGGTAAGTACATATTAGGTATAATCCTTACGGGTAAATTATTTGTCTGAACACTAAGTATTGGACTATTCTGATTGTAATTAGGAATGTTAATGGTTTGAATGCCTTGCTTTTCACAGAGTTGCATCAAAGTATTTGGATTTGGCCATGCTAATATTGGCCCCGTATATTTATTCGTTGAATTTATCTTAAAAAAAATGATAAATTAAATACATTATAAACATATTATAAATAAAAATAAAATAATAATAAATTTTACCAATAAACTTGGTTTTGTTTGATTCGATACAGCAGCAGTTGTATAAACAGTTGTTTGTTCTACTTGAGTATTATCACTACTAGTAAATTTCGAAGTGGAAACTGTGCTTGAACGAGACGTTAACTCCGAAAATTGTGGGAGTGCACCGTGGATTATATTATTTCCGGAAAAATTCATTTTACCACAGATAAACGCGAAAGGTACGCGCGTTTGCGATTAAAGCATGCGAGCGTTTATAACCTATAATATCTCTTACAAACAACGAATGAATAATATAGCTATTTTTATCTTTTTAATTTCATATTTCTCACATTATATAGAAATATAGGCTAATATCGAAACAAAACATCGATAAAAAAAAACACAAGACTAATTAAATTAAAAAATATTTGTCAAGCGACGGTACATTGTAACGTACGCCGCGTCCTATGCGTTGTTCCAACATGGCTACATTAAAGTACTATTTCCAAAATTCTATTTTTATTTTTTCTCCAAATAAATATAATATTTAAAATATTTTAAAAATATATAAAAATATCCTTTCCTATATAATTTAAAAAAATATATATGTTTTGATAAATTAATAAATCATTTTTATTTAATTAAAGACAAATTTCTAAAAGAAAAATAATTTTTGTTATGATGGCTAACCTGAATTATTTTCTGTTTACACTGGACGCTTGATAAACTTCAATTGATAAAATAAAAATAAACATCTTGGGATATTTTAAAACTAAAATAAACATAATATTGATAATCTAGGAAAGAATAAATATGTAAGAAAAGATAGTTAATAATATTAAAATGAACTTAAATGTATATAATTAAAAATTTTTAATAACATCATTCGATTTTGTTGTTTTATTATTGTTTATTAATTTATTTTTAAATATGGTACAAAAGATATCTTATCAAATTTAATAATAATAATAAAATCTTAAAAAATAATTTTACTTGCCTTTGGACATTTAATTACAAATTTTTGTTTAATTAATAGGTAATATTTATTAAACATGTAATCATATGGGTGAAACTTTAAACGAACGAATAGATAATTTACGTAAACGAAGTAGATTTTTATTAGCAGAAGTAGATAAGAATTCTAAGAAAGTTAAAAACGAAATTAAAAAATTATATTCCCAAAATTTGTGAGTATTTAATGTTATATTTCATATTTATTATTAATATATTTATTAATTTATTCAAATTTCAATACATTTTTTTATAGGAAATGTAGAGAAGATTGTAAAAATCATGTTGGCAAAATAAATTCATCAAACTTATGTTACAAGAGAAATAATAAATCATGGAAATTAAGAAATGATTCTAGTGGAGTGAGTGGAGCTTTGCATTTAGATTATTTCTGTAATACCTCTAATCAAACGCTTACATCAATGCCCAACACAACGAATGCTTCAACAACAAAGAAAACATTAATATCTTCAAAAAATCATCCTAACAATCAACACTGTTTAGACATTCGCAGGAAACCAGTAAAAGGATGTTATTGCTCTGAATTAAAAAAAATACAACAAAAATCAATAAAAACACAAAGTAAATCATGTTCTTCTAGAAAATGCAAAAGTCATATTCTTCCTGCTATAGTAATAGAAGACAATTATGACAAGTCAACTATATCTACACCCATTAGTTGTGAAACATTGAGAAGAGTTCAAAAGATAGATTATGCACCCAAATCTCAATTTTTACGTAATGTCAGAAGCAAAATTTCTCTCCTGCAATCAGCAGCAGGTGATTGTCCACAGATCTGTTCTAGATCACAATGTTACCATGAACTTATGACCAAAAAAGATACATACATTCCAGACACTTATAAATGCATAGATAAAATTACTCATGATTTAACAAGATCAAAAGTCAATGAAAAATATTCAAGTTCTGAAAAAAGTGATAAAGGAATTCAAGTATCTTTAAAAAATAAATCAAAATCTCTTTCTTCAACTTCTATACCTTGTGTACCTAGTATATGTAATATAAAAAAAACAGAAGATAAAATATGTCAATGTCAGAAAGAAAATTCGAAAGATTCCAAAAATGATTTAGAAAAGAAGGATAATGCTGATTCAGAAAAATGTGAAAAAAAATCTTTAAAAAAATCATTAGATGAAATTGAACAGAAACATCTTTCTGATAAAGAAATGAGAGATTTAAATAAATTTCGTGAAAAAAATTACTTTGACACGCACGGATCTAGTGATATTTTAGTATCATCTAAATCTTCTGGTTCCTTGGAACAATATTTCTTAAATGATAGATTATTTCCTGAACGATCAAGAAACATTCATAAGAAAGATTTGGTTGTAACAATGCCACCTTGCGTTACTACGCAACTAAAACGAATACATTATTTCCCTAGATATATCGTTCATCAAGAAAAAAATAATTTTAATACAATTGGCAAAAAGAAACGTTGTCAAACCTGCCCTTTGACTGGCCATGCCATAGATCTTGGCATTACAAAAATGAAAGTGCCTTTGAACAGTTTAGCCCTTAAATATCAAAAACGATTATCTTAATCAAAAAAATTACTTTTTTATTACAATAAATAAAACTAGAAAGGAATAAAGTAAATGAAAATCCTAATAATTTAATTATATCTTTTTTTTAACATCAACACAGAATTCTAGAAAATCCATTCCATTTACTTTATTCCAAATTTTTAATTTTGTATATATTTTTGAATATAAATTGTAATAATTAAATTAACCTCACATATTTTTATTCAAAACACAGCATGCTCTGATTGAGATTATTAATCACATTTATAATAACACTCATAATCATTGAGATTATTAATGTCTTGTAGAATATATTTTACAATTAAGTTTCATATAAAACTTTCGAGACGTGACATGATATTTAATAACATGATTTAAACAAATATTTGAGATTGTTATATGCTTTTTACTTTCATAAAAAAAAATAAATAGTAATATATGGTATAGTATATTTCATGGTGTGCGTTATCTTATATACACGAGTAGAAATTATTTTTTTTATTGGATTTGATGATTCCCGCAATCTAATAAGTCAATAATCTATAATGAGTTCAAGTTCGTCGAATGAAAATTTCTTTTGAATAGAAGATATGAAATTGTGATGCAATTTAGAATACTATTAAAGCAGCATTATTTGATAGATTTTTTTCTTTTAACAATGATATAGAAAATATTATTATACAATGTTTATCATCAATTTTTATAAATATTTATTTGTAATATTATGACTCTATTTTTTGAAATAGAGGCAATAGATCAATAAAATATAATTTTTTTAATGATTTATATAATTTTTGATTTTAAATATATTATTTGTATGATTTTCATATATATAATATTAATAATTGATATAAAAATAAATATTTTTATTAAATTCAGATGAAATAAAAAAAAATGAAATTATAAATAAATTTAGTAAGGTATACGTAATGATTGGTTCATCTACTTTTCACTATCTTTCATTTTTTTTTATTGTTTATAAATGGATAAAATTTCTTCGATTAATTATGGATTTTAAAAAAAGAAAAAAGTTAAATTATAAGACTTAAATTATGATAAAAGAAAATTGTTAAGATTGCAAAATTAAAAAAAAACTATTCAATTTGCTGATTGAAAAATGAGTAAAAAGAATCGACATTCTTTAACTTTTATCGATAAAAAACTAATAATTTTCTATTTTAAATAGAACAATATATTGAAATTGTTCGAAACATTATAAAATCATTCGAACAACATCTAAATATTAATATTTTTTTTTAAATTATACGATATGTATAATAATAATAAAAAAAAATTGTTGTATTATTAAAATATTTTTAAAATTGTTTAATTTGGAACTATTAAAAACTTATTAAAAACTTAAATCGAATATAATGCTTTTAAATTTATAATTAAACATAATAGCATGTTAAATTATAATAATAGAGAATTTCGACTACGGTATAAATAATTAAATATTCGTTTGTAAAATAGTGAACTTGTAATCGTTAATTTATTAAATGTCGATTTCAACAAGAGATTAGCATGGAAGGAATGCCTTTTACACATAAAATATAATTTCACATTTTCTCAAAGAATAAAAAGTTAAAAAATAATTAAGCGCTTATCTTAAGAATTTATTGAAGATTTAAAGTTTCAAAAGTTTGTATAATGATTTTTAAAAAAAATAAATTTTAACCAAAGATAATTCTATATATTTCTATATACGAAAAAAGCAAAATTCAAAAAAATCAAATTACATTATTGATAATCAAGTGATAATCATTTCATAAAATAAACAATGAATTGATAATTTTCAGTTAAACAAAAAATAAAAATAAAAGTAATTTATCATTTTATATATTTTTTTTTTTTTTTACTTTTAGATAGGTTATAAGAAACAATGCATATTATTGTATAAATTAAAAATAAAATGTTCGTATTCATTTTCTCGTACTCATCACGATAAATACTTTCAACAAACGCTTCATCTGGTTAGAAAATAAAAAAAATGAAACGAGAAGTGCACTTAAAACTGGTTACCCTTGGTTGGATATTATTAAACTTATTTTTCTGTCTAAAGACTATCTTTTTATTTCTCATATATACTTTATCGATACTTTATCAATTATTTATTAAAAAAAAATGGAATAAAAATAAAATAAAATTTAAATTTTATGCTATAAAATACTATTTTAATATCATCTAATGAATATTCATTTTTTCATAAATTATTGATTCATTTCCACTTTTATTTACTTTTTTTTTATTTATTCATGACTTTATAAGTAAATATTTATTTAAATTCTTGATGAAAATTCAAGGAGGTCCGTTGAAATTTGATGAGATCAAAGAAAGCAATGAACGAAATAAGTAGAATAAATTCTTCCTAATGAGCATGATGAAATAAATAAAGAAATAAATTAAGCGTTTCAAGTAAAAATACTATATTGGATAATAATTTATCTTGTCATTTCCAACAAAGAAAAAATTAAATTAAATAATATTCATCTTTTCCCAGAATTCTTTTACTTCCTTATGCAAAAATTTGTTTGTATTAATGAAAAAATATATAGACATTTTAAATAATTGTTAATAAATCTTACCTAACATTCTTATGAAACATAATTGTACTTTGAACTCGATTCAATAAATTATAAATTGTAAGTAAAAAATCAATTTTCTATTATTATTCCAGTTTTCCTTTTTTTTTTACTCTTAATGTCTTCATCTTAAATCAAAAAAATTTAATATTTATCTACTGGTATGAGTTTTTATTAGATATTTGAAAATTAATTAGGAACATTAACTATGACATTATTCTTCTATTCTAAATTAAAAATTGCTAAAAAAATAATATTCATATAAAAACGGATGAGACTCCATATTGCATTTCAAATAATGTAAATCGATTATCCTACTTATAATTTCAAATGAATTACGTCGAATTACGTCACTGATGATATGTGATTTTTTATTACGATTTATCTATTATCCATTATTATTTTAGTTTATTCATACATTGATCGTAAAATTATCAATAAACTTACATGCTATTATACTTTTATTTTTTATTTTTCATTTATTTTTCTTTCATTTTATAATTACTATTATTTTATTTGATTTTATTATTTACATTGATCTACAATAAAATTATATTTTATTTATGTTGAAAACTACTCAAAAGATCATAAACAGTATAAACAAAATTTAAAAAAACATAATCGAAAAAAATTATTATGAATTGGTAAATTATAAATTGTATTTAAATTTCTTAATTGTATGCAATTTTGTCATTAGTTAAATAATTCATAGAATTTTATTAATTCATAGAAATTTATTAAACTTCCTTCAAGATCTTGTAGTGTTATTAATTATCAATATTAATGACACATTCATTTTTCCAACATGTTTTTTGCTTTTGCATTATAATGTATTAAGTGCTATTGAAATTCAATTAAAACTTCTGACGTATTATGTTAACGTATCATAAAACATATCGTTTAATATAGAATATAAATAAAATTAAGAGATTTAACGAGAAAACGATTTAATGCAAATGATTAATTAACATCTCTTTGTAAACGCGAAAAAAACGAGAATCTATTAATATATGATGATGGTATTATTCATAATTTTAAAAATTCATCACAATTTTAATAGATAAAAAAATTATCATAATATATATTATATAGAATATTTTTAAACATTTTTTTTTTCAAAATATATTGCTTTCGATACAATTATAATAATCAATGATGATAATTATCTTATAATATCTCATAATCTCTTGATAATAATAATAATAATAACGAAAGAAAATAAAAATAAAAATAAAAAGCTATACAACAAGTATTTCTGAAATCTCGTATTTAATGTGTTTTATTCATAGTCGGCAAGATAATTTTGAGATCAATGAACCTTCAAGTACTTTTTTATGACCTTGAACACTCAACCTTGTCAGACGTTCTCAGTCATCTTCAAGAAAGCCATAATAATATTTAATCCGTTCATCTATGTCAATGTCATGTACCGTGCAATTGTTCAATGTTAGATCATAATTTAATCATAATCGACGATCTCGCAATGAGAATAATAAGTTTCGTCGCGCCAAAAATCGAAGAATCGAACGGTAAATCGTTCTACGTTATAAAAACATAGATTTAGATCTTGGCTAACAATTTCATTTGAGTCAATGTCATTTGAATTTTAACTAAATCGAGACAAGAACGATCATATAAGATGAGGAGATTAATTCTTAACGATATATTACGAGATAAATTATAATTTATGAATAGAACAACGATTTTATGCGATGAAGAAATGATTTTACAATGATTTTAGAATGGAAAAACAAGTTTTAATAGTGAGGAGGGAATAATTTTCAACTTGTAAGAATAATTATGGAATGGAAGATAAAGAAAAGATATAGTAAATTTGCGAATAAATTGATTTTAAGTAATAAAAAAAAATTATTTTAAATGCTAAAAAAGTTCATGAAATAATGATTTCAAATGGAATGATTTTATGCGATGAAGAAACGCTTTAGAATATTTATATAAAAGGATAATTTTACTTTATTATGAATAATAAGAAAATAAAAATATGAAAAATTTAAAATTTAGATAAATGAATTTAGAATTCGCTGATGAAAGAATAATTTTAATCGATGAAAACACAATATGTAATATTTAGTATAGAAAGATGATTTTAAACAATGAAAAAGTAATTTATGCTCTATAATTAGTAAATTTTGAAGAGTGATCCTACGTGACGAGAAGCACGCTGCATTTAGGGAACAAAAATTAAAATTCTATTAAAACCTATCAAACTATTGAAATGAAATCCTACTAGTGATATTATCTTTCCAATGAAGTACCTCATTATGGATCTTTATATATATTTCCTCCTTAATGTATCTTGTTGATGAAAATAACTTAAATATACTTGATTATCAAATTTTTTGAATAATTTTAAAAAAAATATTTATTTACATTGAATTTAAATATTATGTATAATTAATTAAAATACTATAATTAACCTATATTCAAACATTAACGTTTCACAATATTTTTTTAACAAATTTCCATGTTTTATGTAGATATAATTATATATGATATAATTTTTTTTTTTATTCGATGCAAATTTAAATAACTATCAACAGCGTTATAGTGTTTGTCTAAATGTCCTTATTGTTTTATTTATTCTCTTAAATGATTCACTTCGAACGATTATACGTCTAGACCATTTATGAGATTTTCTTTCGGATCTTTTATTTAAAATTCCAATGCAAGAAAAACTCTTATTTCATTATTTTGTTTAATTTAAATTCGAATGAGATAACATTGTTATTTATTTGTATTCTATATTATTTTTTTTTATATTAATAGAATTTTCATTAAAAAAAATTATTAATTTTCTTTTGTGCTATGTTGTCATAAAAATTCTTTTAAAAATGATATTTATAAAAATTAGTAATATATTTATTTTATATTACAGAAGAATTGTTTTAATTAAAAAACGACAAGAAAATCTAGAATATTTCATTAAACTTGTAATAAATAATTCATAGAGTAACATTATGCAATATAAAAATCTTCGATTTATTTCATCAATCATTATTTATTTTTAAAATTACAAATGAGAATGTAATAAAATACATTATTAATTCCTGATAAATATTTAATATTATAGCTGCTTGAATTTTAATTCAAAATTAAAATATTTGATTATAAATAATAAATAAATTCGTTCAAATACATGCATCAAGTAATTTTTTAAAAAATTCTTCTTCCAATTGTTTGAATCAATTGCAACTGTATAATTCAAATATAATTTAATATTAAATGTAGTAAAAATCCAATTTATATTAAATAATATTGAACGTTCCTTTTAGAAATTAAATTGTTAATTTAATAATCAGCTTAGATTGACGAGTTAATCACAGTCAATAAAGCACTATAAATAATATAAATTTTCTTCCTAAAAAAAAGAATTTCATAAAATATTCTGCATTTATTTTCAAAATGAATGAATGTTTTCAATTGTGTACAAAACAATATACACAAGTATATATACACAGTATATTACTGACTATGTATGACTGTGATCATAGAAAAATCTTTCTATCTTTTTTAATTATATTTGTCAATATTTTTTTGTAAATACTTAATCGCTAAAACAGAAAAAAGTATTGAAAAAAAACAGCATAAAAAAAAAGAAAAATAGATGCAAAATTATGAATTTACATATATTACAAGTATATTTATTCAAATATATTTGTAATATATAAAAATAAAGATAGAAAAAAAAACAATAATTCAATCTAATTGAATAAAATAAGAATAAATGAAATATAGAAAGAAAAAAGAAAGAAAAAAGAAAGAAAGAAAGAAAGAAAGAAAAAAAGAAGAATACGATCTTTATTTTTTTTTCATAAACGAGAGCATGAGATTATATAATTTTTTTTTTATATAAAGATATTAGATCTTCTATCGATAAGATCGGTATCGATATCTCCATTTATCATCAGTATCAGCGCAATGAATCATCTCGAGTACATTAAACTAATTCACTACCACCACAATATCTTCGCTCTGTAGCTCATTTAAAAGATTTTTTTGCATAATTTCATGGGAAGAGAGGTATACGTAAAGTACTTGGCCAGGTAAGTAGTGGGGCGATCCTTCTGCTTAAATAGACTGCATCAATGACCGTTTCTTCCAGTTCACCTTCAACACTCCAAAGAAATTTCCATTCGGAGAAAAGAACAGTCGTGAACTGTTCATCGAATTTATCATGGGAAAAATAACAATAATCAGATTTTTCGTCTTGACGACGATGTTGATGATGGCCATTGCTGTCGAATTGCGTGAGTAGTTTTTATATTTTTTTAGTTTTAATAATTGGTCGATATTCAAAATTAAATTTCGAAGGTTACTCTTTGACTCCTTTAGGATTGTAATAATTGTATGTGTGTAATAATTTTTTTATTAAAATTCCTCTTCGCTATCAAAATGATCCTCTCGATAATATTTAAAAAAATGACTTTTATTAATGACTCGAGAAACTATAACAAATTTTTCGCACAATTCAATTTTTTTTTCTTTTAAAAATAAATTATCGATTGTCCGTTCAACATCCAGTATTTTTCCAGTATTTTTTATTTAAACAAATCCTATCGTCATTCTATCCTCATTTCTCATCTAATAATCAGAATTGAATCAGAAAATCACTAGTTTGCTCTTTGCATTATTATTCGTGATCTAAAATCTTAAAATGAAATCATTTTTATAAAAATTAAATAAAGGATATGACATTGCTTTCGAATTCGATTTGTACTTATTTCAATACAACAATCTTTTATTAAAATAAATTCGGTATATACTTATTAATCAATGTATGCAATTTTTAATATGATAAATAAACATTGTAAATATTTTTTAACTAAAATATTTTCGATGATTTTAATAATAAAATAAAATAGGATAAAAAATTGATTTAAAATAAGATGTAAAACCAAAATCAAATATATTCAAATGTATTCTTATACTAACAGCGTTCTGCAAATGTATATATTGTTTGTTAAACGTATTTATTTTACTCGTATTTTATTTATTAATTCATTAAGAATAGCAGATATTTTTAATTCATATATCTACTAAAATCTTGATAATGTTTATTATAACACACTTCGTAAAATATATTTTAAGATATAATTTATAACATATTTTAAAATATAATACTTCATATATTTTTATCGAGAAAGTTACATTATGAAATATAAATATAAAATATGTTATATAATATATTTCTAAAAATATATCATAACACTTATTATAATTTCAATAATATATATCTTTTATATATATATATATATATATCTTAAAATTTTTCACGATTTTATTTCAACAAATATGTACAAACCATTGCACGTGGATCTAAAGAAACATTAAATGTCAATGTCAATGATAATAAACAAACAGTTGTTACATAATTATAAAGGTAAATCGAAAACCGTCTCATTTCCACGAAACGATCGATCGAAAAATCATTAGAGCACATACATTACATGGATACATGTAGGTCTGAAAGAGAAAGTCAACTCCGAGCTTCGTAACTGGTGTTGAACTTTATTGGATCCATTGCAATGCAATAACTTTTTACGTAATGCTTACATGCGACATTTTTTTCATTTTTCCTCCCTCTTTTTCTTACATTCTTTATTGCTTTTTTCTTATAGCGAATAATTGGAAGATATGCGACAGATCGCTACCACAAGAGGAATATAATCAGTGCATCGCCGAAGCTGTACGAGACGCTGTCGTTTCATTAGCCGGAGGTAAGAATTGCAACTTTATAAAATAAGTAAAGAAGATTAGTTTCAATTCTCATATCTATTTCCGTGTTCTTGATTTCAATTCATTTTTTTTTCTCAAATTTATTATTTATCAATTAACGTTTTTATTTTATTTTCTTCTCGATCTTTATTTTCGATTATTTCTTTATTAATATAAAATTTTCGTTAGTATTCGTCGATATTTAATTCTTTCTTTTTTTTTTATCGCGATATGAAAAGACAGATTTATGACTTATAAAAATCTAATTTAATTAACAAATATTTAAAAAATATATATATATATTTATTACGTATCGTTCAATCGTTCGAAAAGAATAAAAAGTGTCATTTTGTCCGATATAACTATTATTATTGGCAATAAAATATTCAATGATCGAATTAATTATAGCATTAATATTAAGAATAATAAAAAATTATTGTTAGCACATTAACTTCATTAATAATATTAATTAAGCTGAAAATATTATTCAATAAACTAGTAAATCTAAATCTATTTAAATCTAAATCTATTTGATCATCAATCATCTCTATTATTGCACAAAACCATAAAAACCATGCTGAATAATCATTATTTGTCCAGTTACGTAAACACTTCATCTGGCCAATTGTGACTGCCCACTTTAATATAATTTTCATTGAGAAGCTAATATCTTTAGTAACTATAAAGCACTAATTTTCCGCGGATATTTCTAACATTTCTAGCGTTTTAATTCTCTATTCCTTTTTTTTCAATTCGCGAAATTTCAATGTTTGTTTCTATATATATAACTTTTTTTACAGTTGTTTATCTGTATCTTGATATGGATATGCAAGTCTTTAAATATTTCACTAAATAATAGCAATTTTCATTGAAGTACGGAAGAAATATATTTGGCCCCAAATAAATTTTCACGTATTGCAAATTTTTATAATTATAACATATTTCTTCGAAGAGATTCTCATCTACTTGGTTTAGTATCTCATCAATATCTTTTCAACAGTTTGAAAAAATATTTCAACATATATACTATTTGTAATTATACTTTATATATATTACTATATAAAATATCTTTTATTTTATTTCTCTACAAATGTATACTAGCAATATATGTGTTGTCAATTTCTTTTAACCAAAAAATCTAGAAAGAAACGTATCCTCCAATGTAAAATCAAAGATCAAAGATCTACAAAGTGTTATTTTATCAAGGAGTCTCAGCTCATCTGGAAAGAAATCCCAAGAATATAACCCTTTCTCGACAAATTTCCAATCAAATTTCCAACCTCTTTCTCCTCTCAATTTTCGACTTATCAAAATAAATAAATTAAACAACGAAGTCACACTGAATCCTCGCTGATTTCACCAGAGCAATGCATGCTGCGTTTCCTCGAAACTAGCATTAATTTCTCTGGCATAATCACGCGTTGTAATTTACAGAAGTTCTCCTTGACTCGAGTCGACCGTCCCTTCGCTTTCTAGGCTCCCGACAAAAATTCACGCAAAGACTTAGAAACATTCCCACCCATGAATCACCAATATTGCTAACTTGAAACAAAATATTTAAGAAATAACAGTTTTTCAAAATATTTCAATATTAATCAATGTTCAACATACATTAATATCGGTATATCCTTGAAATTTCCATTCATAAAGATGTTGAGTAATTTTAATCACTAAGTGGTACGTACTTATAAAATTCGTATGCCGCTGTATCATTAATTTTTATTAAAATGTTTGTGTATCTATTTATGAATGTCGTTAATATGATATTATCGAAGTAAAGATATTTTAAAATTTAAATTTGAGTTATATTAAATTTTTTAATATTTATTTATATTTTTTAATATACTTACTTAAATCCACTGTAATATATTTGAATTTGTCTATTAATGTTGCAATTATTTTAACTATCTATTTGATGATTGTGCATCTACTTACATATCATTGTTGACTCAGATATTTCCTAATACGGTATATTTAAAATGGTCACTACATCTTTGAAATAAAAAAAAGAAAAAATTGAAATGCAATTGGAACATGAGAACACGTTTTCTTTACTCTACTTACAATTATAACAAGAATTTTTATATATTCACTTTTTTGGTCACTTGAAATTTTGTTTGGGGTATCTTCTATTGCAGAAATTGTGAAAAAGCGTAAAAGCATGTAAAATTAAAAAAGAATATTTTTTGCAAAGGTTTGAAGAGCTTCAAAATTCTGCCGATTGAACCATTGGCCGTGGACAGCGTGAAAATTGGAGAATCGCAAGGATCGGTTACTTTGAGGCAAGAATATAAAAATATCAAGTTATACGGACTTACGAAAAACCTTGAGATCAAAAATTACAAGTAAGTTACATTGTTCATTAGAAAATTTTTTGAAATTTCGAAATTAATTGATTTCCAAATTTTTTTCAAAAAAAAAATATGAATATAAATTAAATATATTATTTTTAATTTGAATTAACAATATTAAATATCATATAATTGATTGATTAAAAGTAAATTTATTCAATTTATTGCTTGCAAAGATTAATTATTATGATATACCGTGTACGAAAATAACATTGCAAAAATAATTCAATAATATTAAATATAAATGTCACTGTACAATATTATGCAATGATTTAAGAAAACTTCGTGTTTTTATATTCATGCTTTATTTTATACTCTAATTAAAATTCGAATATGGGTAAAACCGGTATATGCCCAATATAGCAACAAGAAAAATATAAATATCTCGCTGGATCGAAAGTTGCATGTTAAAAAGAAATTTTTCTTAATCATTTGTGTATAATTTACAATTTATAAATGTAAAAAAAAACAATTACGATATACATATATAAGTTATAAAAATTCAAAGACTCAGAAAATTTACATAAAATATAAAAAATTTTGGTTGATTATAATATTAATTTTGATTCAAAATTATATTGTATACGATAAAAAACTTAATCTTTAATTATCATATCGTATCATACATTGAAACATAGCGAATAAATTGAATATTGGTAAAAAACAAATGTTCAATAATAATAATGATAATGTTGGCTTTTTAGCATAGACTGGGATAAATGTCTACTGTCATCGGAATCGTACAATCCTCAAGTAGATTTCGTCGCCGATTACAAAATCGAAGGAAAAGTATTGCTTTTACCTGTCAGAGGAGCGGGAAAATCAAACATAACTATGTGTAAGTATATTTATTAATTTTTCTTCTTAAAATTTTGTGATACAATTTTGTAGACAAATATAAGATTCTTCGTGTTTATTCTAGATTTTTCTTTTCAATATTTTGCCGATTTATTCTGTCTACAAATAAAAATAAAAAGAATATGTTATATAGATATTCTATATTCACAGATTAGATGTAAATGTTTCGTTAAAAAGTGACAAATATAGAAGAATACGAAATGACAGAAGATTGATTTTGTGTTCGATGAAAGATAGAAATATTATTTGACATGCGACACAAAAATTATATTTAAATAGATAACGTGATTTATGATGAAATTAATGATGCAAAACCGATAGTTTATTTCGAACTAAAAATTAATCTATTGCCATTTTGTATTTCTATTATATATATATATATATATATATATATTTTTTTAATAAAATGCTGACAAAACCTGAGATTATTTATCACTTAAACGTTTATTTCATTCAAATATATCTAGATGATTTAAAATCACACAACGAGATATACTGTGAAAAATACGAAAAGAACGGAGAAACTTACTTGAGAATCAAGAAGCATGCGGTGAAATTCAATCCTGCTAAAGTGAAGTTGAGATTTGAAAACCTGTTCGATGGCAATAAGGAACTAGGTATTTATTAAAAATTATTGCTGCAATTATTGCTCTCTTTTTACAAATATCTTTGACCGATTTTTAATAATATATACAATATATTATTAAATTTATATCCCTGAGACACCTTTATAAAATTAATTCTGAAAACTATAATAATAAAAGTCAATTCTGAAGACTGTAATAATAAATAATAAAAGTAATATAGTTTAGTATATAAAAGTGTCAATCTATGATATACACAAATTGAGATCTATTAAGTCAGAAGTAATTTAAATACAATCTAACATTTTTATGTAACTCTTGTATTTATTTTGTCTTCTAGATTTTCTAAAGGTGTCTCACGAATATATTAACACTTTGTATAAATATTATTAAAACATATAAACGAATCAATGATTGATATTAGTAAATAAAATCAATACTTTCTTCGTTTGATTTCTTCACTTTTACATAGAGGAATAAGAGAAACGATAAATGTTTATGATAAAATTTAAAGAACGTAATAGAAAAATTCAAATGCATCAAATAATTTTTATTCCAAATGCATCGTGATGTTTTCACATAAAATTATGCGAGAGTTACTCATTAGAAACATTATTTACATACGAGTTTCAATCGTGCAGGATGATTGTTATTCCGCTCGTGAAAAAGAAATATAATCTTGGTTATCTGACGAGGTCATCCTGTTGAATAAAAAGAAGAATAATGTAACGTCTAGTTGCTACACCATTAACCGTTCATAAAATATCGTTGATCTCGTGTCAGATTAGTCACGGTTGCATGAAAATTATTAGACAAACGTTTTTGTTTCTTTAGCTCTATGTCAGCGACAATATTTATAGTATTCTACTTTTATTTTTTATTAGGTTTGATTAATGGTTATATTTATAAATTATATATACAAGGTTCGTTTAGATTTCAAAACTTGTCATTTAAAATGAGTTAAATTTGATTTAAATTTTATGGAAATTATAAATCGATAAATTACGATTATTACATACTTGATCTAACCTAATCATAATAATTTATTTGACTTAAATATATATTGATCTTACATACAACCTTTCGCAGAAAGTATTCGATCACTCTTTAAAATCTATACATTTTTGTACCATTTGTACCTTGTTTCTGCATTAAACTATTTCGAAAAATTTTTAACACATATACATATATAATTAATGATAAAAATTTACAAAATATATTATTTAATATTTCATTACAGACTTAGATAAAAAAGCGATATTTTTCTTTATGATTGAGATCAATTGCAATTTTTTCAAAATTTTTCTAATATATCAACTAATAATTTAATTTTTTTAAATAAAAAAAAAGTTGTTTTGTTCAATTTAAAAAAAAAAGCTATTCTACTTTAAGAAATAATCGAATACTTTTTGTCATTTGTATTAAAGTTAAATTATGTTTTAAATATAATATTTTGATTTTTTTTTATAGGAGAACAAATGAATCGTTTTATAAATGAAAATTCCGAGTTACTTTTCAAAGAGCTCCAAGCTGCTTACGAAGAAACCTTCAGTCTAGTTTTTACCAAAATCGACAACGAAATTTTCAATCGAGTGCCATTCGATAAAATTTTCCCGTCAAAATAGATCGAAATGAATTTTTTTCGTCAGAAAAAATCTTTTATCAACGTATAGTATAATAAAATACGATACAAAAAAAGATAATTTCGCAATGTACCAAAAATTTGTATGATTAGAATTATTTGTATATGAAAAAACTTTTTACAAATTATATTCAATTGTTATTGTAATATTGTAATATAAAATTCTCTTTTCTTTTTTTTTTCTTCTTTGTCTTTAATAAAAAAATATTTCTATTGATTTTTACATATCTATTTTGTCAATCATTTAAATCCTTATTAATCCTTCCTCTATTATATTATTATTTCAGTTCATAATTTTATTATAAAAAATTAATTTATTAAAAAATTAAAAGTTCATAATTTTATTAAAAAATTCCATTTTTTTATATTTATATTTATATTAAAAATGAGAAGAATGATGATTACTATCTCGAATTATCAAAATTTTTTATTAATAGATATGTATTTTGAAAGCTAGGAATAATATATAAAGTGATTTATGAGGTAATTTAATTTATGATTAATGAAATAAGTGATAGATAAAATCGAACTTGTTTTTTCCAAAGTTTAAAAACTTTTATGACAATATTTCATTTGAATAATGTTTATTTTTTGCTGATTTTATTTAAAATTATGCTAATTGAATAAAAAAATTAATTATCATTAAAAAATATTTCAGAAGATAATAATATATAATTATCCGTTTAAAGTAATTTAAAAACACTGATCATAGATAAAACGATAATTGAATAAATTGATACGAATCAAATATTTTCAGATGATTGTTATATTAAGAAAAAATTTGAAATAAAATAAAGTTTTTATCTAAAGAAACATCAATTTTATATTTCTAAAATATAAAAAAAATTTATAATTTTTAAAAGAATATTTAAATTCAAAAACAATTTTTTCAATCAAAAATAATTGGAAATATCATGTATGAATAGATGCCTCAAAAATATTTTAACAATAAAAATAGTTTTTAATTGTTATTAATTAAAAAACAAAACTAGAAAACTGTAAAGAGTTTCTAGAAACAATTTTTTACTTTTTATTTTTATCTCGTTAAATTCCTTCTAGAAATTCTTTATAATAGTATTTCAGAATATGAAATTAGCATAAATGAAGCCTAGAAAAAAGAAAAAGAGAGCAAAAATGACTGTGCGAGAGAGAAAGAGAAAGAGAAAGAAAATTTATGTAGAAAAAATAGATTTTAGAGATCATGTATTTCGACCGAATTTTGCAACAATTACAAACGTTAAACAAATACAAATATATCGTTATTAAATCATTAGAAATACAGAATTAATTTATTTATCTTTGCAGAATCAATTTAAGAAAATAAAATAAACACGAAAGATGATATGCAAAAGTGATAAAAGCTAATTTATTAAATAAAAAAATAAAGATAGAAGAAAAATTAGGAAATTAACGCCATCTCTTGAAGATTCCAGATGAAATTAATACCATAGGAGAAACATTTTATACAATTTCATGTTTCATGTTCTGAAATACCGACCATCAAAAAGTGTTTCTTACGCCCTCTGCGATTTTCTACGACCAATTTAAAAACTATATTCAATTAATTTTACAAAATGATACACATACACATACTAAATTTATTATATTTTGTATTTATATCACGAAAAAATTTTCATTTGCGGAGAAAAGTATCGCACAAATTAAAAATAAATTTGACAATATACAATATCTACGAGATAAAAATAAAAGTCACAGTTTATATTCCTACGCAATATTTTCTGATTTAAATACAATTATTTATCTAACTATTGAAAATATGGAAAAATATTTGTTTTAACTATGGAATAAATAATTATATTATAAATCTATGAATAAATAGAAGAAATAAGAGAAATTGTGCAAAATCACATTGATAAAAAATATTTAACAATGACATATATTATAAACAATTAATTTAATTAATAGATATTTCGCGGAATTTAAATGTCAAAACGAAAATGTATTTGAAAAGATCCTAATAACCAATAAAAAACTAATCGCGTGCGCAGCCAATCAGCTCATATTATTGACTATAATATTTATAACCGTATCTGCGATACGATTATGAATATTAAAGTAAATAATAATGATTTCCCAGGTCTCACCACGTGGAGGTTGCTGCGAATTGGAGACCCACCCTATCCACGATCCCATCCACCCTCCTTTACGTAAAAATTTATTTAAAATCAATATCATGATAAACCTTCCTTTTGACTGTAAGATTGCAAAACGTTCCATCTTTGATCGTTGTGCAAAACGAACAGTAAAAGGAGTTTTAAGAGAAAACCGACGCGACAATCTAAACCTGAAAATAAAAATTAAATTACATCTTATATAATTATATATAACTCTACGTGAAAAGACACATACAAACACATACAAACACACATGGTATACATTACTTCGTACGTATATCAATATTTTATATTTTCATGAAAATAACCTATGTATAAAATATTGATAATTGCGAAGTTTAAAACAAGAACAAAAAAAGGACTTTTTCACACAGAGTTATATTTATTTTATTAACCACCACTATAATACCACCATTTTTAATACCAAAATTACTACTACTACTACTACTACTACTACTACTACTGCTACTACTAAGCATGCACAAATATTCTACTTTAAGCATATTTCTACAGCAGCAGTTTTACAAGCATCTATTACTTACATTCTACTTATATTCTATTTATATTCTAAAACTTATATTATATTTATAAGAAAAATTTCACGAATCCTTAAACTTACTTAAATTTAAACTTAAAAATATCCTAATTATAATTTAATACGATCCTTAAGGAATACTGATTCAAAATAAATTTACTTAAATCTATAATTTTTTGTGGACCTTATTCATATATTAAAGTTAAATACTTCTTTAAATTCCTACTTAGCACACATCTAAAAATAATACTTTCCTTTTTATAATTTGAAGATTTGTTTAGGGAGTCTATTTACAGAAAAAATCTCAATCAAGAGAATTGCACGAAATACAAATATCACTTTAGTGGTTTTACACTGATCTCTGAAACAAATAACACTACAAAAGGATTAGTAAAAATTTCATAACAGAAAGTACTTTGA